AGTATATACCCAATTCATACCTTTCCTCTACACGTCGGCCTTGTGTGTTTCGCATCGGACCACCAATTTCCCCCGCCAGGCCTTTTAGTATTAACTACTAATTCTTGCGCAAATTCAGCACTTTAAGAGAAAAGTAATTAGGTTATCGTTCTTATTAAATATTTTATTAATTCCACCATGTTTATCGTGTATTACCGTCCCTTCCATTTTTAAATTCTTCAAATGTACATGACTTGATGTCCTAGACGTAGCACTATGGTCTCCACAGGGTGTTAAAATAGGATGGTTTGCTTGCGTGGCTGCTGGAAAGACCCATTAGCAAATTTAAGCTCAATTTAATGAGATTTATTGAATTTTGTGCTCAGCATTGTTTGTACAGTAAACCCTAATTATCTGTAGAGGGTGTCCTCCTGAGTATACCAGGAAAAAAAGAAATAAAGAGCTACAGTTTCAATGAGCCCATTTGCTTGGACTGTAGAAGGAGAGAGTGGGAGGAAGCAGGAGGTGAAGTGGAACCTTTGCTGCCACCCCTCCCCCATAAGATGCCAATAATCCTTTCTGGGGGTTCAACTTTGTCATTATCTGCTGATTCATTTCCTTAAGTGCAGGTATACTGTATAAGCTTCCTAGGGCTACCATAACAAAGTACCAAGACTTGGTAGCTTAAAACAATAGAAGTGTATTCTATCAGAGTTCTAGAGGCTAAAGGTCTAAAATCAAGGTGTTGGGGGCGGGGTCATGTTCTCTCCGAAGGCTCTAAGGAGGATCCTTCCTTGTCTCTTTCTAGCTTCTGGTGGATTCTGGCAGTTCCTGGCATGTACATGCATTGCTCCAATCTCACCTCTATCTTCACACGCCTTCTCCTCTGTGTATTTATGTCTCTCCTCTCCTCATAAGGACACCTAGTCCAGTATAAACTCATCTTAAGTCATTACATTTGCAAAGGCTAATTCCAAATAAGGTACATTCATAGATACCTAGGGTTTGGACTTAAACATGTATTTTGGGGGGGGGGGGTTGGGGGGACACAATTCAACCCACATGTATCAACAATATTTATTTCCAAGAGTGGAAAATAGCACCACATTGTCAATAGAAGCAAGGGGTGCTGTCTAGCCAAAACCCAGTGCTAAATTGCATGTAGCAGTACACTTAAGACATGTTTAAAGAGATTTAGGAATATATATGCATTTACAAGTCAGATAAGCAAGTAATGAAATAGTTGCTTATCTCCTGGGTGACAAAGAGGTCTTAACCCCTTTCTCTCAAGATGGGTTCACTAACCTGAGATGGAATATGAAGGAACTAAATCAGACTCTGCAAACAGCAGAATACATAAACATATTTTCACAGAAGACAAGTCCAAGGAATAGAGTGATACCAAACAGCATTATTTACTATTGAGAAAAGTATAATAGGACACACCATGGATATGCAAATTAGACTTCCCTTTCATATTCAGAAAATGGATACAAGCACATTTGATTTTGCTTCGACTCTATCTACAATTGAGCCATCGAATGCTTCTGTCAACCCCAGTGACTCTACGACCATTAAGATTAAATGCATAATATCTTGGTCCACTGAAGAAAAGGAAGAAATCTATAAAAAAAAAAATAAAGTTTTGAATTAGTCTGTGGAAGTAAGATTTCCGATGTTCTCAATTAAAAATACTCCACTCCTATCCCATAACATTCAAATGCAAATATGCCACTTAAAATATTGAAACAAATTAGTTTTTTTTTTCTACTTACCATTCTCCTGGAAAACTGCATCAACTCTACTGTCTATTCCTTGAAAGGTACTTGCTATGCTTTTGGGATAACCTGGTTCCATGGATTGTCTTTCATTATCATATCTGATGAGAAAAAAAATCCTGTGTTTTAAGGCCAATACAGTATATAAGTATAATGGTTTTATTTAAATTGCATATGTCCTTTTTACTGGGACTAAGAATGGGTAACTTTTAAAATTTGTACCCATTTATAAAATATATGGGTATCATTATTACTAAAATAGGTTTTTGATTACTGGTGCAGTGTTATTTTTAAAAAGAAGAGTTACATTTTCTAAGGCTTTTGGTTAACTGATACATAGTCTCTCCCTCTCTCTCTGAATAAATGTAAATAATAAGTCTAACTTGGGCACCAGATTTTGTAGGCTGTCTGGATAGCACTTGCTTAAGAATATTTAGACTTTAACTCATAAATGAGAGTTAACCTAACTTTTTGCAGCCCATCCTATTGCTTTATTAAGATTTGCTCATGATATAGAATCTTCAATACCATTGTGCAGGCATTTTAATTTTATAAAAAAAAATAAAAATTTCACCCTAGCTGGTTGGCTTAGTGGATAGAACGTCGGCCTGCGGACTGAAGGGTCCTGGGTTTGATTCCGGTCAAGGGCACATGCCTGCGATGTTGGCTCAATCCTCAGTGGGGGGCATGCAGGAGGCAGTCGATCAATGATTCTCTCTCATCATTGATGTTTCTATCTCTCTCTCCCTCTCCCTTCTTCTCTGAAATCAATAGTAAACAAAAATTTTTCAAAAGATATAGCAACATTAATCATCATATGAAAAAGAATGGCTACCAAAGAATACTTATGTTTTTAAAGTTTTCAGATGCCTGATTATTAGTGGTTTGTAGACAGGGTCAATAAACATAGATTCAATCTCTAGTTGAACGAATAGTTGACCTTACCTCCAGAACTGGTTATTCACAAAGAAGTATGTTTTTGTCCTGTAGGAAACGGCTGCATCAATTGCTTGAACATTGCTTGGGAACCCGTAATTTGATATATCCTTGGGATAACCTTGCTGAATGTCATAGCCATTTAGAGCCCAGTACTGGTTGCCTGCAAATGATTCAGTTTATATGTGAGATAAAATTCTTCCTTTCCTACAAAGTAATGTGTATCACTTGTTATTCGTTGCATACATTTATCATAGAAATGAAAATGGGACAAAGAGTCTTTAAAAAATAAAGGTGATAAAGTGAAGTTCATTGGGCTATAATAGCCTCAGTGGTACTCCAGCTTCTATTTAAAAATTCCAACTTCCCACCCGGCCAGTGTGGCTCAGTGGTTGAGCATCAAAATATGAACCAGGAGGTCATGGTTTGATTTCCAATCAGGGCACATGCTCTAGGTCAGTGATGGCGAACCTATGACACACGTGTCAGAGGTGACACACGAACTCATTTTTTTGGTTGATTTTTCTTTGTTAAATGGCATTTAAATATATAAAATAAATATCAAAAATATAAGTCTTTGTTTTACTATGGTTGCAAATATCAAAAAATTTCTATATGTGACACGGCACCAGAGTTAAGTTAGGGTTTTTCAAAATGCTGACACGCTGAGCTCAAAAGGTTCGCCATCACTGCTCTAGGTTGTGGGCTCAATCCCCAGTAGGGGGCATGCAGGAGGGAAAAAAATAAAAAATTCCAACTTCTCAGCTTGACATCTCACAATTGGATGTCTTATTTTACATGACTTCTATCCAGAAACTAAATTACTGCCTTGGGGAAACTTGAGGGTGGAGGAACACTGAAGTTTTTCTCACTTTGTAGATGAGAAAACTGAGGCTGGAAGGGGATACAACCTGCTCAAGTTTACGCAGCAGTTAGTGGCAGAGATGGGACCAACACAGGTCTCTAGATGAAGCCTGGCCAGCATAACACTCACTGGCTCATCTCCCCTGAACCTGGGAAGGGCCACAAAAAATCCTTCTCCCCTCCCTTCAGGCAGAACTAAAATAAAATGAAACCCTCGGCAGTTACCTTTAAATAGGAAAACTAGGTCCCTGTCAGAATCCTCATAAGCAGCCTGTATACCAGTTGGCAGGGATGGCCAGAATAGGGAAATAAAATTGAGTTCAACTCTTCGTAGCTGAGGGTGCCTTCTCCAGAAGTATCTAATGGAGCACAAGGGAGAGAACACACACTATAGTCTACGTAGGAAGCTTCTGTGAGTCTTGGGTTAGTATGGGTCCTCATAAGATTGCTGGGAGGTTATGATAATATAAGAAAAGCAAAGTTTCTAGCACAGTGACCAATATTGTTCATCTGGAATGTACTTTACAGTTCCAGAGGAGGTCATAAGAGTGACCTTATTTGATTACATTTTGCACTGTCCCTTCCTCACACATTGACAAGTCTTATTTTAGTCTCTTTCATTATTGTTTCTACAGAAATGATGAGAATATTTATTTAGCAAAAGCAATCCAAGTACACTTAGCCTGTGATTACATAATCACAAAATAGACAAAGGGAAATGGATAAATTCAATCTTTTGGATATTCACCCTACAGCTTAAGTGATAATTTCCATTTACTTGATTAAATTTGGGTGAATTGAATAATGTGTTGGTGTTGTGTAAACCTAGCTATGGAGTTCCCAAGTTAGCTAGAGCCCATGTCTATTTACATCACCACAAACACCTGAATGTTCATAGATATTTTAGTTTTCTTTTCCTGGATGTTTCGAGTTGCCCAGAAACCACTAGAAATTCCAATGAGGCACATATGTGTAGAATTCAAAGGAAAGCTGAATAATATGTAATATGTGACTTAATTAAAACATAGCTTTAAGTTATGCCAGTAAAGTAAGCCAAAGGAAGAAACAGTTCATCTTATACTTGTCTTTAAAGAAAAGTATTTCTCCACGGAGTGTGGTGATAGCATCAAATGTCAGGCGGGGGTCACAGGCGGTGGGTGTGCTTGGTCCCGTTGGTTGGACAGGGTTGTCTGAAGGTCCTGAAAAATAAAAGGCTTTTTGTCAGTGCAAGCCCAGTGTGATTTTTTTTTTGGTATTTCAGCACTTTTCAGGACGATGAAGCATCTTCACACGAAGAGGAACACTGCCCGACTACCACACAAGGCATCAATGTAACTGTACATTTGTCCCTCTTAAAATTTTTTTAAAAATAAGAGTCATGGTAATTTTCAGAGACAGTTCCAGGTTAAATTTTGCAGTTAATAAATTTGAATTTTATGCTCCAGTTAAAATCCTAATCACACCCTTCTCCTCCTTTTTGCTCCCTCTTTCTGCATTTTTTGGGTCACTTAGTATCCAATTCCCACTCCTCCAAAATCCACCTTCAGAAAGGAGCTGATACCAGACTTTTACCCCACAGCATATATCTAAGTCACATTTTAGCAATATGATTCTCTATAACTATTTGCACTTAGAAGTGTTTTTTCATTGTTGATTGAAGGGCTATATTAATAGTTAAGAGAACTTAAAACTTTGGTGAGCAAAGGAAGCAGATGTTTTCAGGGGAAAAGAAGTTGGGGAGGGAAGGCAGTTAGAGTAGGTCTCATCATTCCTAAAACTGCTACTATGATGATAAAAATTCCCTAGTTGTGGTGCCCTGGCAGGCTTGGTTTTGTAATTCTATCCCACCAGAGAGAAGAGAATGCTCCCCCCAGTTCCATTCCACTTCACTCTCCATTCCATTTCCTTCAACACTTTTTAGTCACAGCCACTAGGGGGCAGGAGGGCAAGAGGGAGGAGAGATGCAATGGTCTGACCCAGATAGTACTTTTATAACAGGGCCAAAGGCTTCTATATCCCTCCCTGAAGTTTCAGTCATGACTTTAAAAAACGTTTCTCTCTATTTCCATTCACATCACCCTCTCTCCCCCACAAACAACAATCTTAAGACACACACACACACACACACACACACACACAGACACACATATCTTCAATTTACAGAGATTCGTATATTGTGCAGTTTAATTTGTACTGTGTATGATGTATCATTCTGTTTTTTTCCCATGAAGTGCAATGTTTTAAAGACCCATCCCTGTTGTTGCCACACGTACATGTAATTCAGTGCTTCTCGCTGCTGCACATGCTCTATGGCATGCATCCAGCACATTTCACCTGTGCATTTTCCTCCTAATAGACTCCCAGGTGCTCTCCAAGTTCTACCACCAGGAACAGGGACTGCAATGAACGTCCTTGAATGCCCAGGTCTTACTACGTTCTGCAATGTTCTTCAGATGACCTTACCATAGATGGCCTGAATGCCATTGATGTCATCTTGAGGGAGCAAGTAGGTGCTGGTTTCACTGAAGGCGTAGTTGGGATACATCAGGGCACCGGGGTCAGAAGAGTGAGAGAGCCCCAAGGAATGGCCAAATTCGTGGGCAGCAACAAGAAACAAGTTGTAATCTGAAATGCAAGCATGTGTGGTGAGTGGCTTGGTGTACCCAAGGGTGGTGGAAGGATGATCTCAAGGAATGCAGCTACTAAGCCAAAACGGTCTGGAGAAATAGCCTTTCACGCCTGTCACTTTCTTTTTCTCTCCAGGGAAATGAAGATTAGAAGGAATCAGGGTTCAGATTAGGTGACTGTGAGCTTCACATCAAATTTTAGAATAAAATAAACCTGCCTTTATTGTGATTCCCATGTTTCATGGATGTGGCCCTGAGGCTTAGGGAGATGTTAGCAGAGCCCTCACAGGTCTCATGACCTTCAGAAGCCCTCTCTTCCTGTGCACCCCTGTCAGTCTCCCAGGCCCTCAGGCCCATTAGCAGGGTCTCAGGAAACAGGCAGTTAGCTAGAAGCTTGCCAGGCATCGGAGTAGCCTCAGGCACTGAACTGACTCACTGCTCACCCAGAGCCCAGCACCAGCTCTTCCCTGTTCCAAGCTCTCCAAACAGCTTCCAGAATTCTCCACCAGAAAGAGACAAACCCTGCCTCTTATTGCTCCATTCCCTCAACTTTTAACTTCACAAGCACAGAGCCATTCACAACTAGAAACTTAAAAATTCCAAGGCTCATACTTTTTTAATCAAATAAAGCCCAAGTTCATTTGCCAAGTCCAAGACCTCTCCACGTGGCTCCAGCAGACATCTGGGGGTTTGGCTTCCGATGTGAACCCCTCCCTCCAGCCAGTCCACGTGCCATCTCACGGCACACTGTACATTTTCTCACATGCCTACATTGTAAATCAGAGCTGGGAGCACTCCCTTTAGTCTAGGAAGTGTAATACTATTTCATCCTCACAGCATTTTTGTCAAGTATGGTTAAAAATATTTTTACAGTAAGGAACTGAAGCACACAGATTTTGAATATCTTGTTGTTAGTCTTGTAACCAATAAGTGGTAGAGCTGGGGTTAAACCCAGATATGATGGCAAAACTTGTGCTCTTAGCACAATTGTTCAACTTCCTATTGATAAGTAGCCTCATTCTCCCCATGCTCCAAGACTTGCTTTCTTGATCATTATATCTTTTTTTTTCATTTATGAGCGCGTTACAAAGAGCACCTTTGAGTGACAGAGGCTCGGGGGGATTTATCACCATGCACAGTCTGGAAGGGGAAATGTATGAAAAAAAAATGAATGCATAGAGTAATGACAGCAGGTGGAGGAGATAGAAAGGCTGTCAGTAGGTGTTCTCAGGAGGAGGCCTCATTTCCCAATGAAAGATAAGACTGGGTGGCATTGGACACAGCCTGGGAAGAGAGAGATGTTGAAAGGCAGGGCTTGGGGTGTGGGGAAAGGCATTTTAGGAAGAGGAAGCAACAGGAGCTAGTACAGGGAAGTTGGAAAGTACATGGTGTGATTTAGGAACAGTCAACGCACAATGTGGCCGCTGCATGTGAACTATGAGAAGCCAAGAAAGATGAGGCTGGAAAGTCGCCAAGAGCCTTCAATGCCAAGTGAACGTGTTTGGACGTTATTTGGTCCATATGACGTAAGCACTGAAAGTGTTAAGCAAGAGACTCATGAAATCCCAGATAGACTTTTCAAAGACAAACCTTGCTGCAGTGTTGGGAAAAGTCAGAGGGAGCAGAGATTGGAGGTGAACAGTCCAGGTGGGAACCTGGATCATTTAATTCCAGCGAGAGGTAATGACCATCTGACCTAGCAGGTTGGCCAATAGGAATGCATAGTGGTTGAGACTGTAATTTATCTGTGGGTACACATGGCTCCTAACACAGGGACTCAAGTAGAATAACCTTACAGCCTACGTGGGGAGGAAATGGTGAGAGGAACAAGGCCCGAGAGAAGGTAAAAGGTTCCCTTTCTATTATTTTCTCAAGTGCTCTGTGACATATTGTTTGTTACCCAGGGCCTTGTGAAGTGTCATATGGACCACATGTACCTGTCCTTCTCCTCAAGAGTCCCACCTCTTTTTATTCTGAGCCTTCTCCTGAACAGGGTGGTCTGTTATGTAGAAACATACCATTGAAAAGGAGGTTGGTGAGCCCTAACCGGTTTGGCTCAGTGGATAGAGCGTCGGCCTGGGGACTCAAGGGTCCCAGGTTCGATTCTGGTCAAGGGCATGTACCTTGGTTGCAGGCACATACCCAGTAGGGAGTATGCAGGAGGCAGCTGATCGATGTTTCTCTCTCATTGATGTTTCTAACTCTCTATCCCTCTCCCTTCCCTCTCCCTTCCTCTCTGTAAAAAATCAATAAAATATATATTAAAAGAGAAAAGAAAAGGAGGTCGATGAAGACCCAGTAACTAGATGAAAAAGAAGATGGCTGCTCTTCACTAAGTAGGACAGTTTTCTAAATGAACCCAATATTTCTGGGTTTCCAAAAATAGGACCTTTTACAAACATCATTAAATTTCAGAATACTAAGAGAAAGATACACCCTAGAGCAGCGGTCAGCGAACTTGTTCGGTAAAGGCCCAGGTAGTGAGTGTTTTAGGCTTTGTGAGCCATGCGGCCTCTGTGGCAGCCACTCAGCTCTGCCCTGGCAGCAGGAAAGCAGCCACAGATGACACGTGGGCAAACAAGTGTGGCCCTGTCCCGCCAACACGGAGTTTCCACAAACAGGGCCTATGATCTGCAGCTTTCTGATTTCTGCCCTAAGAAACGATCCGTAATTAGAGTCAGGATTTTTTTAAAACCTAAATTGACTTAGTATCTTGAGATAGCAAAATTTTTAAATGGTCAGTTTCTGTGAGTTTGAAGTGTTATAATAACTTGGATGTGTGTGTGTGTGTGTGTGTGTGTGGTGTGTGATGTGTATTGTGAAGGAAAAATGTTTATTCAGAAGCCACATGTTGACCTGACCTTAGTTAACGTACTTTCAGAGGTTTTGGTCCATGTTTCTTCTGCATCAAAATGAGCATCTCCTCCAATACCTTGGCCTGGCTGGAAGGCATGGGCAAGGATTCCATTGGGCCCATCAAACGGAGAGTTGTCACCATGAGCTGAAATAAAACAATTTGTGTTAGGACGTTGCTAAGTCTCACTTCAGCCAGAGAAAGCGAAATTGAGCGTGACTGCTTCGAGCCCACCTCCTTGGACAAAGGCAATGTTGATGTCTGCTTCTCCCTGTGAGGCCTTGGTGAAGCTCAGGGGTGACACGTCACTCCAGACTTGAAAGGCTTTCTTAATAGCTGCTTCCACATCATCCTCTGACAATTGTGGGGTGTAGTTAATAATCCTTCAAAATGAGAAGATGTGTGAGGGCTCATCGTTTAGAACTCCAATAGCTCGAGTTTCTCCATTTTAGAGTGAATTACATACATGATGGGCTACCACTGGAGACGGTGTAAGGAGGGAGTGCAGGACTCAGGGTTGAAGACAGATATGGGTTCTGCACATGTTATTACATGTTTATAAATTTAGCTTCTTTATTTATAAAATGAGGATAATAAAATAGTACCCATGTCATAGAGTTGTTGTGGGAGGCTAAATACATGTAAAGCATTTAGTTCAGTATTTGGAAAACAGTATCATTGAACAAATATTGAGTATTATTATTATTATTATTAGATGAATGGAAGTTGGGGCCAGTTTCTCTCCAGCAATGATTAAGCCTTTTTTTTTTTTAATCCTATAGTGAGTTCTTAGACATTGACATTGACATAGTCCTCTTTAGATTATTAGAAGGAAGTAACAAATGACAGGCTTTGGAATGAAGAGATCTTTACCCTTTCATACTCATTCATTAGCATCTAAAACTCTACAAGGGCAGCGATATTTATTTGCTTGTCTCTGGTGTATCTCAAGTCCTAGGACAGCGCCTGCCACATTATACATGCTCAATAACAACAGGATGCATGAGGACGTTTTGAAGCCCCTGGAATAGCACCTGTAGGTCAGGTTAGTGTGTTTCCACCTGGGGTATCCTGGGGTCAACATAAATTCACCAGTGTCGGGCACGCCACAGCGAGGCTTTTGCATCATCTCCAGAGTTTCCGCATTGGGCTTCCCCGTCACGGTCAACCCAAAGAATTGCTGCATTTCCTTAAGCTTTTCAACAATCACACTGGCACTGTTCTTCCTTTCAGACTGATAGACGTCCTTGGGTAACTGGTAGAACTTCTCCAGGTAATTCTGGACAAAGACAAACCTGTGAGGGAACTTGCTCTGAAATTACCTTCACTCCTCTGGGCATTTTGCATTCCTTTTAAGTTACCACAGACTTGAAACAGTCTAATACCCTGACGGCCACAGAAACAGAAAACACAAATTTGTAGGTTGACTTTGAAAGAACAATGCCTATTTGAAAGAACAGTCCCCCACCCAGCCAGCACTCCAATTAATGTTTATACAAAAAAAAGGTATTTCATAAGGGATGAAGTACAAGACCCATGCAAAATGCTAGACCACACCCAGACTGCCTTCTTATTTTTATCAAAAAAAATAGCATTAGCATTTATTGACTTCTTGAGATATTAGCTGAATCAATGCAAATTCTCTCTTTTAATCCTCTTTTCACTATTATAGTGGGGGTTTACTCCTCCCTCATTAAGAAGTGGAGGCGTATAAAATAAATAAAATAAAATAAAAATATAAAACCACTCTGAAAAAAGAAAGAAATGCAGGTGCAGAGAAGGAAGGAACTGGCCAAGATGACAATTCAGGTCCCAACTCATCATATTGCTTCTCAAGTGGGAATTCACAATTTCATAAAAGAACATATGTGCATACCCCATGGACACAGACAATATTTTGGTAAAGGCCAAGAAAGGTGTAGGTGGAGGAGGGTGGAAGTGGGCAAAGGGGGTGGAGGGCGGGGTATTTCCTGCAATAATGTCAATACTAAAAATTTTTTAAGAAAAAAAAATGGCCAAACCGGTTTGGCTCAGTGGATAGAGCATCAGCCTGCGGACTGAGGGGTCCCAGGTTCGATTCCGGTCAAGGGCATGTACCTTGGTTGCGGGCACATCCCCAGTAGGAGATGTGCAGGAGGCAGCTGATCGATGTTTCTCTCTCATCGATGTTTCTAACTCTCTATCTCTCTCCCTTCCTCTCTGTAAAAAATCAATAAAATATATTTTAAAAAAAAAAAAAGAAAAAAAATGGCCCTAGCTGGTTTTACTCAGTGGATAGAGCATTGGCCTGTGGACCGAGGGGTTCTGGGTTCAATTCTAGTCAAGGGCACATACCTCGGTTGCATGCTCTTCCCTGGCCTGGGCCCTGCTTGAAGCTCGTGCAGGAGGCAACAAATCGATGTATTTTTCTCACATTGATATTTCTCTCTGTCTTTCCCTCTCCCTTCTACTCTCTCTAAAAATTATTGGAAAAACATCCTCGGGTGAGAATTAAAAAAAAAGAAAAAAAAGAATGAATTAATCAATTAGTCAATAAACAAAAGTTGAATAAATAAAAAAAGAAATCCAAATAAGTTTTTGGGCAACATTAGCCTCGCTGATATTAATTTTATGTGGCCTGGTAACTCTTTTAAAGGGGCCAACACTCATTAGGAGGTAAAGGTTCTGGGGAGTGTGCAGGCAGTCTTAAAATTTCTTAAAGCAGCCTTTGAATTCCGGGCACTTTGTAAGTGACAGAGGACAGGGCACTTTGGGGCTCTCACAAGCTATGGGATCAGATTGGTTTTGGTTCCAATCTTATTTCTGCCACAAATTAACTGTGAGTTCTTGGACATATCACTTAACTGATTTGAGTCACTTTGGTCTCTTAAAGAGGAAATTAATAATAATAATACCTCTTTCACAGGGTTGTCATAAGGATGAAATTAGATAATATTTCAGAATAAATACTGAATAAACTAGCTATTAGCCAGGGTTACTATTACCATTATAAGAGATACTTTTAAAATGTAAAAGATAAAAAGAAAAAGAAATAAGCACAACACTTTTCTAAAACTGGAATGCTAAGAAAATCACGAATGACAAATTTGGGACAGCTTTCTCTTGTGCGTCTTAAAAATTTGGCCTAATGTTCATACTGGGAAACAACAGAAAGAGGCTATTGGTGCTGCTTTTACAATGCTTCCAAGAGTGTCTACAAAGCCCCATGATCTGGTGTAGGGAAATCTGCTTATACTATAAACTGATTTTTTCCCCTTATAATTTCCCATCCTCCTGCTCTCTTGTGCACCTGGGATTTGGGGCTGCAAAGACAGTCAGATGGAAGGAGCCAGATGTGGAATAACTGGGTTGCAGATGGACTGGGAGGGAAAATCTTAGGTAAGTCGAAGAGAAAATCGCTCGGTTGAGTAATTAAAATCACTCCTTCCCAAAGGGTTCCCCAGATGGAGGCAGCTCAGCAGCAGTGTTTGGCCAGGATTTGAAGAGCCTGGCTTTCAGAGGATTCAGCTTGGAACCCCCCAAACCACTGAAAGGAGATGTTTAAGCTCAAACAGATTATCCACATCATTTCTTTCAGGCTGTTTTAATTAAAAGGAGAAAACAACCCATACAATCTCCTAATTACCAGCAAATCAACCACCCACCTGATCGTTAATTTACCTGAACAACTTCTATATTTTTTTCTCCTTTGGGTTGAGAAGATACTGGAAAGGCCTTGAAAAGCTGCGTGTGGAATAAGAGCAGAAGTGGGAGCACCTTCAGACTGGACATGGCCTTCCCTCCAAAGGCCACCTCCCCTGGCCTTCCGCACTGCCGCTCTGGGTAGGGTCCTTCTCTGGGGGGTGCCCAGACGTTCACAGAATCATGTATGTGTCCCTCGCTGCTCTCTTGGTCCCTTATAAAGTTGTGTCATAAACAATTGCCACAACGGGAATGTGAAGAAACACAGGTTAATTACACTCTGACAATTTTGCAATGTTAAAATGTGATTTAGTACCCGGCCAATGAAGGAGTCTTTCAACAGAAAAACAGTGCAATTTACTACACTTTGCTTTTGGGGTTTTCAGTTAGATATTTACTTTTGCAAAATCGTCTGGTCAAGGAAAAAGAATAGAGATTAATTGTGAAGTTATGAACAGCAGTCATCTACGGCTTACACTTATACTGGGGAATATTGTTTGTTAATGATAGGTAACTTGGGACCAGGAAGCCCAATTTGAGAGCCTCTGCACTCACCGCCCTTGCTGTTTGTGAGGGGTGTGTTGGGAGTGTTGTCACAAAGCAGGATTTGTATGGGGGTCTCGGAGCAGCTCTGAAGGTTGTGGTTTTGGCATCAATGTATTAGAAAATCCCTCGCCCTAACCGGTTTGGCTCAGTGGATAGAGTGTCGGCCTGCAGACTGAAGGGTCCCAGGTTCGATTCTGATCAAGGGCATGTACCTTGGTTGAGGGCACATTCCCAGTAGGGGATGTGCAGGAGGCAGCTGATAGATGTTTCTCTCTCATCGATGTTTCTAACTCTTTATCCCTTTCCCTTCCTCTCTGTAAAAAATCAATAAAATATATTATAAAAAAAAAAGAAAGAAAATCCCCAACCTGAAAGCTGGATTTTCCACAGGAAAGACAAGGAAAGCAATACTGAGGATGATAATAATCGACATTGATTGGATATTTATTATGTCCCAGACATATGTGCTGTACCTATATCACCTCAGGTCACCCTCACACAGCCTTGGGAGGTAGGTGCTATTATAATCTGTATTTTGCACAGGAACTCAAATCTGGAAAAGTGAGGTGACTTGTATAAGAGTCACACACTATGATTGTAGGGGAGCCAGGATTCAATCCAGGTGGAATGTTTAGGGAGACGGAGCCTGCGCTGGTTTATCAGGCTGTTTTATAGTCTCCACTGGGGGCTCGGCTGGCTCCTAATAAGCAATAGCTCCAGGCCAGCAATAACTGGGATACTGTGGCTTGTGTTCTGAGAGAAGGAGACAAATGAGAGGGAGAATGAGACTAAGTGAGGATTTGCAGACGATGTGGTTACACAGGGGGCTGTATTGGTGAGGGGCCCTTGGGCATGCTTTTCAAATTATGTCACTTCTTCCTACTTATTCTAACTCTACATGCATGTAAATTATGTTACCTTACCATACAGTTTTTGTATATATTCATTTACATATATTCTAAAGGGCATTCTTTATGTATTCTTGTATATAAATCTATACTAATAAAAGGGTAATATGTTAATTAGACCGGACATCTTCCGGATGTCCTTCTGGACAAAGCCATGGTGGCAGGGGCTGAGGCAGAGGCAGTTAGGGGCGATCAGGCCGGCAGGGGAGAGCAGTTAGGGGCGATCAGGCCGTCCGGGGAGGGCAGTCAGGGGCAATCAGGCTGGCAGGGAAGGGCAGTTAGGGGTGATCAGGTTGGCAGGGGGCAGTTAGGAAGCGATCAGGGTGGTAGGGGAGCAGTTAGGGGAATCAGGCCAGCAGGCAGAGTGGTTAGGAGCCAGTGGTCCAGGATTGCGAGAGGGATGTCTGACTGCAGGTTTAGACCTGATCCCCGTGGACAGACATCCCCCAACGGGTCACGGATTGGAGAGGTGGATTGCGAGAGGGATGTCTGACTGCAGGTTTAGACCTGATCCCCGTGGACAGACATCCCCCAACGGGTCACGGATTGGAGAGGTGCAGGCCAGGCTGATATACATAAACATGTATGATATATAATGTCTTAATATGTAAATAATGTCTTTGTTTAGGATGTTATGATAAGTAGTTCAGCTCCCTCCTGATGTTGCTTATATTCTTTGTAAAAATCCAGAATAATGTGTCTTGGGTTAGAACATATCTGGAGAGCAGATTAATGTTCATGATGTAGATTCCTGCATTCACTCAATAAACATTTCCTGCTATCTACCATATGCCAGGTGCTGTGATGGATAGTAGGTTATTGGAGATCAGTGAATAGTAGTTCAGATAAAATTGCTGTCTGAAGGAAAGAACAATGGTAGGGGGAAGTGCAGTCAAGGGAGGCTTCATGATGGAGGTAGAATTTGAACTGAACTTTGAAGGAGAAGTAGATTGTGAACATGTAGAGTTGTGATGGTTCATCCCCTGTACACATGTGGTAGCTCCCCTAACCCCAAGTTCAAGATGTTCTAAGGTCATGTTCTTATTATCCCCAAATGGGTGCACAGCTTAGTCATGATGTGGCTTCTTCCATATCAGGTCTTTCCTTACTGAATAAGAATGTCTTAACATTGGTCTACTTTATGTTGAGTTATTTTGATGCGCTGACTTATTTATAAGATTTATAAACATAGTTTCTTCTGAACATAATGGTAAGTGATTTAGATAAGAATTCAACACTTTGGTGAACTCAGTTCTCTGGCATATTGTGTTAAAAACAGAATTGTTGGGTCTGGATTCCTGACAACAGGTCCAGCTTCAGTGGTGTGATGGAGAAGGCCATGTTTATTTCCAGGGCCTCCAGCTTCTGCTTTCTGAATCCTTTCTTCACATCTGACCATCACCTGCCTGCACTGTGTCTGTGCTTTACTCCTTCTGATGCCCAGAACTCAGAGTTCTCTTAGGCCATCTTCTGGAAATCCTGCATCTGGGAGAGGATCAACTATGTCATTTACACCTTAGTGTAAGCTTAGGGGCTATTTTCTTTTAAGCCAATTTCTTACTAGGAAAAAAACCAAACCAAACAAGCAAATAAAAAAACAAAATAAAGCAAAAACCATTGTGTCCTATTAGTTTCAGAGAAAGGAGGAAGATAAAGAAAACTTAGTTTCAGCCCTGGTCAATGGCTCAGTTGGCTGGAGCATCATCCCATACACCAAAAAGTTGTGGGGTTAGATTCCTGATCAAGGTCCATACCTACATTGCAGGTTTGATCCATGGTTGGGGTGAGTACAGGGGGCAACGATTGATGTTTCTCTCTCATTTCAATGTTTCTCTTTCTCTCCCCACCCCTTTCTATCTCTCTATCTCTCAAGAAAAATCAATAAAAACATATCCTCGGGTGATGGTTAAAAAGAAAAAAGAAAATTTCATTTTGGACAGAGACAATACAATATAAGACAATGGAGGATCTTTCTATCTCACTACTGCCATCCCCTGATGGGTCACCCCCACAGCAGAGATAAAAAATTGTATTTTTATTACTCAGTTTTGCTTTTCAGGTCTAAAAAGAAAAAACTGATTGCATAGATATAGTCTGTTTTCTTTGTAGTTAAAAAAAAATGGGTCCAGCAAGCAGGGATGGGCAAAGGTAACTGGGAAAGCTGCCTGGAGGTGTTCATGTGTGCCTGGATCTTGAAGGATGAGTAAGGGTTTGCCAACAAGGAATGTAATCCTGTAGAGGAAATAGCATGCACTAAGCTCAGAAGTGTATCCAGTGAAGCACATGGCTAATTTGATGCATATAAGCCAAGGCAAAATATCCTTTGCATCAGGTATTTTTGAGCTTTGATGATCAGGATGGAGGCCTACACACTTTGATCAAGTTAATAGAATAATTTTTTGGGTCAGTTATGCTGAAGGGTAAAGAATATTGCACTTGAAATTATACTACTGAGTTCCAATTGTAGCTCTGCCACTTCCTATTTATGAAACTTTAGCAAATCATTTCAATTATTCTGAGCCTCAACTTTCACATTTGTTGAAAGTTGGTACATTAACATCTCCCTTGGACAGCATCGAGAGGATTAGATGAGTGGTATATGGAAAAGTCTGATTAAATCCTCCAGTGTGGTATCCCCTTTGTATTGTGAATGTGATGAAGTGATAGATGTGTTAGTTCATGTGTCCATTCCGTGAATTCAGTTAGTAATGTTGAGAAGGTCCTCTTTTGGAAGGAGAATTGCTTCAAAGTTAAGCCACAGAGTGATGAAGTAATTTCTACAGTTTCCTTCAGTATCCAGTGCTGGGTGCAGCCAGGGAATATATGCATTTAACTTATGCACCCTTTGCACAGAGTAGAAATGGTTATGTTAAAATCGTACAAACCACCATGAGCCAAATGCTGAGCTAAGCTGGCAGTCGTTACTATTGGGGGAGGAAACCCTGTAGGACTCTTAGATGTTCACTGTCTATCATCACCCTAAGCTCCAAAGCAATCTAAAGAAGTAAGGGCTATTATTCCCATCTCTCTCTATATAAAAGCCAAGTGACTAGAATGCTGGAATTACTGGAACGACCGGTCGCTATGACATGCACTGCGGCAGGCCAACTGGCCTGATTGGGTGGCGTCCCCTCCCCTGTCCGGCCCTGGCCCCTGATCGGCCCCTCCTCCCTGCTGGCCTGGCCTGATAGGCCCCCACTGGGGCAGGCTGGCTGGACCCTACCCGTGCACGAATTCATGCACTGGGCCTCTAGTTTCAAAGATAAGGACATTGAGGTCCAGAGATCTGATTCAAACGTACCTTTCCATTTATTCTTCCTAGTAACCCCCTTTGATCTCTCAGTAGGAAAAATTCAAAATAACACAATGGTTCTCAGTCTTGGTTCTATATCAGAATCTGCATTAAAAATACAGATGTAAGCTTCACTTTTGCTACTGAGTCAGAATCTCTGGGGTGGGCCTCAGGCACACATAATTTCTGAGAGCATCTCAGGTGACTGAGGATGAGTTAAGAACCTCTGTTGTAAGAGAGGATAGAGAGCATGCAAGAGGTGTGGTAAACAGCCACATCTTTAAGATTTAAAGGAAGGAACAATCATATCCTATTGGGGAGATCAGCAAAGCCTTCATAGAAGG